ATCAGCTCAAAAACTCAAATCCAACCCTACTCGGCCAAATAGTTGATTAAGCAAGGGCTGAGTGAAGATAGGTCAAATATAAAATATACCGAATAGGAGGCTGGAAATGGATCTAATCCCAAGGCCCAAAGAGGAAAGGATATAAATAGAGAAGACATCAGCCAGAAAGAGGTATGTAAAAAAAGAGTGGTGCTTAACTTAGGATACAAGTAATATTGAGTGTGAAACCGACTTGCTGTCGGAGTGCTAATTCCGGCACCTCCGACCGGATTGTTCATTCTTTTTCAGGTGACTAGAAGAGGATCAAGAGCGTCCCCCAGGATCAGAAGAGTATTTCCAAAACCACTTCTCCACAGATTGTATATGTGTGATGTTTGGGAGGACAAAGGGGATGGACTCCATTGAATTAAGTTAGCCTGTGCATCCAGGGTGAAAGTCCAGAAAACATTGTGTATACATGGGTGCTGATTCCAGCAGACGAAATTTCTGTAAAATGGCAAATTAAAGTGTTTGTGTGTAATGGTTATGTGGTAAGAAAACCAATGAGTTGTAATCTCAGTTGGGTTTTCTGGGTAACAATGTATATGACTCATGAATTGAGAAGATACAAAATGACATGAAATGAATTAATATAAAATAGATTGGGATATCTGTGGACTCGCCTTTCACTACAAGAAATTGCACTTTTGGCAGCTACTTTTGGCTACAACGTCAATTTTTCGTAGCTAAAAGTATATTTTTGGCGACACAGCAATCAATTTCGTTGGGAAAAGTAGACCTTTACCAACGCAATTTACTATCGTCGCTAAAAAAGCATAACACTGACTAGTCGGACTCCCGCAGTTCTAAATCTAATCTCACAAAGTGCAATGTGAAACTGATAATCACCAAAGAGTCCAAATCCGACAAATCGTTTTGGAAAATTGATTTTAAGTCAAAAGTGCCAAAATTGGACTACTTTGCCAGATACAGAGTCGCCACCTAAATATTTTATTTTTAGGGAAATTTAGGAAACCCTAACTCATGCCAAAGGCCACATATCCATCATCACCAAAGTTATCTCGGCTAGGGAACTTAGGTACGAGAGGGGAATGTCATGAATTGAGCACCCCCGCTCGCTCGATCAAAGATCAGCCTCTACTAATCATGATATGATTTTTTATAAACATTGTGTGTTCTTATTCTGGTTATTAAACTAGATTTACTATGTGATGCACACAAGCAAGTATGGACTAGTTTGCTCAATTTTGAGCAATTCAACTCATGTTTGTTTGCGAATATGGTTTGAATTTGCCACCTCAAGTGGCCTTAAAGTTGCGGATTTGCCACCAAACATAGTGGACTTAAAACATGATTTGCCACTCAACAAAGTGGGCTTAAAACTTACATTTGTTGAATTGTTCCAATTCAAACAATAAGCCTTCATCCATAGGCATGCAAGCAGTTTAGCATTTAAGCACATAGCCTCATGGCAAGCATGCTAATCATGGCAACATGGCAATCACACTTATGCAGGTATGCTAAAGCATAAAAACTAACCTAGTACTTCAAGCCAAAAATAGAAATTAGTTAGAAAGATGCATGATCCTAAATATACAAGATGTCTAATACAACGCATGCAATATGCAATTAATAGGCTCGGCTATTAATATGGCATATGAATCAATTTGATAACAAACGATTAAACACGTATTCAAAGAAGATATTGAAATTGCAATGCAGTTTGAATGATGCGTCGAGCCTTGGTGCATGCAAAACGAATGAATGGATGTAACCATGCGATATGCTAATTGAAATATGTCCCTAATCTAACCATCAAAAGCGGATAAATAAAAGGGAGAAAGACGTGGGGTTGGAATACATACACATACACATGCACACTTATTACAACATTTCGCCCTCGCAAAGGAGGATCCGAATGAATAAGAGCTAAGCTAATCTAATTAAGCTAATGAGACTAATTATTACAAACCAAATGAATAACTAGCAAACTAATTATTAATTATTACAACACTTTAACTAATTAGCAAACTAATTAATTAAATTACAACACAAACTAATTAATTAATTAATTAAACTAAGCTATCAAGACACTAAACTACGTTGCCACTGCTCCCCCTCGGGAAGTGGAAGATGCATGTGCTCGATTTTCACCCCGAAAAGACCTCCATTTTGCTCTAGGAAGGCTCTATTTGCAGGGTTAAGCATAATTCATAAACTTTCTGGTCCACCTTACCAAATCTTTGCTGAGGGTTACACTAATGGCCTGCCGGCCCTCTGCCTGCCAAAAGGGTGCACTTTCGGCCATGGATGGGGCACTGTCGGCCACTGATGCATTGGATCACCATGCTGCAACAGAGCATAAACAAAGAAAAAAAGGGGGTTTTCCAAAGGTTGTCTGCACACCTTGTCTCTCCTTTTCATGAGGAAATCAAAGGAGGGACAAGATTTGGTTCACAAAACCACCAATCAAGCAATTTTATTGCATGATGGCTTGTGAAACCAATTGTGCAAGTTCAATAAATGCAAAAACAAAACTCAATTGGCCATCACCCCATCATGCATGATCAAGGGCAATGGAGACCTAGGAAAATGGCACATTTCATCACTATTGAGTATGAAATGCCCCATTCGCCTTGTGTTCAAATTAACGTCCGATTTGAACACATGCAATACAACACAAAGAATGCTTATCTTGCTTCTTTTACTTGCTAATTTTGTTTACACATTTTAATTACCAAATTATTCATTAATCAATTTGTCCATTGGTGAGTGTTCTCTAATGGAAGGAGGGTTCAAACCACAAGTTACTTTGGGCATGAAAGAGGCATTACACTGTTAGTAATGAACCCCCTAAGGGATTAAACCATTAGGTGTAGCACCTTCATTTCACACTTAGGCAAACAAGTGGTTTGAAACCACTTTCAAAGCAAAGCCAAAAGGTGAAGAAATGAGGGAGATTGTAGAGATTTAGGTGCTAAAATTGAGTGATAAAAGCACTAAAACATGCAATCAACTCAAACCAATGATGTTAAAGCCTTAAACCAACAAGTTAGTGCAGGGAACTTACACTACAACTATGCAAAACAAGACTCAAAAGACTTAACCAGCCTAAAATAGAGCTAAAACAAGTCAAAACGGAGCCTAAAACATGCTGGACTTGAGCAACAAAAAGCTAAAACATTAAGCTAATACGTGAGGCTAACTAGGCATGCAAACAAGACACAAGGAGGGGAGGCTAACCCCTCCAATTTTGGACTTCAAAAAGAGTTTTTTACCACTAAAAAACCTATGAAATTCAATGATTAAAAGGTCTAAAAAAGTTGGTTTTAAAGTGATGAATAAAGGCACAAAAATTTTACACACAAAAGAACAAGAAAGGTGAACCACCCCCTAACTAAAAAGGGGCTCAAACCACCATTTATAAGCCACAAAAATAGAGCTTTTTACAGTTCAAAACCAGCCCCAAAATAGTTGAAAATGATGGCAAAACAAGTATACAAAACAAGTATAAACAAGGCAAGTGTTATACCTTTGAAGCAAAGCACAAGTTGGCCAAAAATCCAAGCCAAAACCACCTTCTAGAGCTCAAAGAAGATCCCAAGTTACCTCATCTCAAAGACTAGCAACTTTGGTTAAGGTAGTGTATGTAAAAGTGTAGAGAAAACAAGCATTTAGGCACAAAATTGTAAGAGAGAGAGAGAGAGAGGGAGAGAGAAATCTAGAGAGAGAAATTTTTGTCTCAAAATTTTCTAACCCCTTCACATGAGAGAGAGGGGTCCTATATATAGAAAAACACAAATTTCCCTCATAAACATCCAGCCACACACGTATAGGAAGATGCATGAATCTATGCAAACAGTTAGTACAAAATATCACAAAATATCTACAGCAAACAATGATGGCCGGCGGGCCATCAATGGTGGCCGACAAGGCTTCATTGATGGCCGACAAGGCTTCATTGATGGCTGGCAAGGCACATCAATGGCCAGCAAAGGAGAAGTGGTGGCTGGCAGCCTCCAAGGATAGCTGGCAGGCCATCAAGAACTTCAGGCTGAAAAGAACCAGGCATGGTCCAAAAGATAAGACAAAATGGATGCAGGGTTTGAAATGCTCAAAATTGTGGCGTTCTGCCGCGGACTTTGAGCGCGTGGTGAGCAAACAGACTTGTCATCGGATGTACCTACAAGAACATCCAAGTCTTAAAGGGCCGTCAAAAATGGGGTGTCCACAATATCATACTTGGCATAATATAGATTTGGGAAAAAGAGTTGTAAATGATTTTATTTTGAGCATTGGCCATGTGCATCATGTTTATAACCTTGTTAAAGTTCATATATTGTGCTAGATTATTTCTGCTAGGCTTTGGCTCACCTTATTTGGGAAAAATTATTTTTAGATGTTGGTGATATGCCTCCGACAAAGCAGTAGTTTGGAGGGATTGGGAGTAGGAATTTCTATTATGTTATATCTATTTTTGTATAGCCAGGGGCGTTAAATTGTGTTGAGTTGGGCTTACTATTGTTGTAACCAAGAACCGTCTTGGAAAGATGTAAGCCTGGAGGGCATTTATTTCGTTGATCACTTAATTTGGTGCCATATGCTATAGATTTAGGGTAGAGCTTATGAATGTGTAATGCATGTGCCCTTTTGTAAATGGACTCTGATTAATGAAAGTCTAATACTCTGTTTATGTCATTTTGTATTAGTCTTTACGGTTGAATTATTGTATTATCTTCGGGGTGTGACAATACATTTGTTAAAACTTTGACTTTGGTGGAAGTTGTAGCTTAAGATAATGCAACATACAATTGGCCATGTGAGAAAACTGGTTGTGGTAAATAGATGTCAACAATATCTAGAGTTTGACCTTGATCTTTGTTATTTGTCATTGCAAAACATAGCCTGATTGAGAATTGACATCTAGTAAAATCAACTGGACACAATTTTTTATCTGATGGTTGCAAAGGTATTCGAGTTAAAAATACCATATCTCCTTTTCAATCACCAACAACAATTTGAGTGAGAATAACATGTTTTTCAAATTTGTGACAAATGAGTCTTGTTCCATTACATAATCTCTTGGAAGGATTTATGTTGCGAAGCATAAGAATGGGGCAGTTTTCTTTAAGAAACAATTTGTGCGGTGGTAATCCTGGAGCAGATAAAGAGTTAAGAAAATCTTCATACTGGCTCTGCTGACTTTTATTAACAGTCTCATCAATGTTGTTATATACGTGTTCATCTACAGGGAATTCTTCTATCAATATTTCATTGATGTGATCTACATTGTCATTTTTCAGAGTCAAGGCAGCCCGATTCATCATTAAAAGTGGATCTTCATTATAATCATTGAAATTTGAGAAGACAAAAGTGATAAACTCTTGAAGTGGATCAATGTTTTTATTGTAAGGAAGAAACATCACTTTAGGGATTCTGATAGTTTCAGGAGATGTCTGTTGTTCTATACCATTTCCTATAAAAAGCAAAAAATTACTAAACGCTGGATCATGCTTAGCCTGTATATTTTCTGTCAATTTGATCTCTCTAATGAATGCCAAATGTAAGACATAACAAGCGTAGCATTAATGCATTCATTTCTTGTGCTCTTTGAGCACAGCATGTGGCACTTGACGAAAGCCACCACCGAATACTACAACCTTTCCTCCAAATAGAAGATTACTATCCATGATATCTTTTAACAATTCATCAAGTGATTCAATACTTTGTCGTCTTGCCATCGATGCTTCATCCCATATTATAAGTGCAGTAAGTTTCAAAAGTTTTGCCAAGCCACTTTGTTTGCTGACATTACAACAAATTTTTCTTTCAACATCTATATGAATTTTGAACCATGAGTGCGTAGAGTGCCCATTAGGCAAAAGTGATGCAACAACTCCTGAAGTTGCAGTTGCGAGAACGATCAATTTGTGTGTTCTTATTGTAGCCAAGATTGCTCGATATAGAAAGGTTTTCCCACTTCCACCAGGTCCATCAATAAAGAAATATCCTGGATTTCCAGAAAGTAGTGTATTAACAATTTGAGAATATGCAAGTTGTTGTTCTGTGTTTAAAAACGACACAGACATCAAATCAAGCTCAGACACTAATCTATTGCTTTCATCTTTTATATCTTTGCAACAATCATCAATTTCATTTGTAGGGACTGATAGATCTGAAAGATAAAATTGTTCAGTGTTCTTGACTATGGATTCAAGAGCAGAATTTATATTCTGCAAAACTCTAGAACGAATTTGTTCTGTAGATAATTTTCCTTCTCTACAAAGATCCTCCAACATTGTTATTTCAAATTTTAAGAATAAAGCTTTTGGATGTGGACTATAATACACAAGTATTGTTGCGAACAATTGTTGTCATGAAGAAGGCATTTGAAAAGTACTTTCTTCTTCTAAGCACTTTTCATGACTTTCATCATCCTCTAATAGACCATATTGAAGAGAAGCTTCTTTAAAAGAGTTATATGTCACTTGTTTAATAGTTCTCAATTGGTGGAATGAAATTGGGCACCGTACATGATTCAACAATAATTGCAAATAGTATCGCTCGGTTTCTCTTGGATTTACAGTGATTGTTCTTCCAACCACCTCCCTTTGCGTTCTTTCATTCCATATTCTATGTTGGCCATCCCAAACAAAGAATTCAGGAAATTCCTTATATAAATAATTTCCTTCTTGAGCTTTTTTGTTTGTTTTGTTCATCACAAAAAACTCTGTCAAAATTGTTCTTGAAAGAAATTCATTGTTTGCTAAAGAGGGCAAGTTATCAGTCTTTCAAAAGCTAACAATTTGGCAATCTTCAAGGTGTAATTGCAAGCTTATCACAGTGTGGACTGCCCGAACTCCACTCCGCGCACAACGGCCTACTACAGTTCGGACTTCTGTCACGGTTCTGAATCTAATATCACAAAGTGCAATGTAAGACTGATAAATCACCAAAGAGTCCAAATTCGGCAAATCGTTTTGGAAAATCGATTTTAATCAAAAAGCGCCAAACATGGATTGCTTTGTCAGATTTCAGGTCGCCACCTAAATATTTTGTTTTGGAGAAATTTAGGGAACCTGGACTCGTGCCTAAGGCCACGTGTCCGTCATCACAAAAGTTGTCTCGGCTCGGGAACTTGGGTACGAGAGGGGAAGGTCCTGAAATGAGCACCCCCACTCGCCTGATCAAAGGATCGGCCCCTACTAAACAAGATATGTTGTTTTTGAAAACATATGTGTTCTTATTCTGGTTATTAATCTATCGTACTATGTGATGTGCACAACATACAAGTATAGACTCAATCACGCGGATTGGAACAAGACAACTCATGTTTGTTTTTCGAAAATGGTTTGAAGATGCTAGTCGCAAGTAGGCTAAAGCGCGGATTTGCCACCAAACAAGGTGGGCTTAGAAAAACCTAATTTTGCCACTTCATGTGGGCTTAAAACTCACAATCATCGAGTTGTTCCAACCTAGGCAATCAGGCCTTCACCCACAGGCATTCATGCAGTTAAAACACTTAAGCAGTTAGCCTCATGGCAAGCATGCTATCATGGCAGTCACTTACATACATGCAAGGATGCTAAAGCATAAACACTCACAGTGTACTCCAAGCCAAAACAGAAGCTAGTTAGTAATTGTGGGAGTCGAATTTTAAAGGAGGCATACTTTAACACAAGTATTGCCCGGCTCTATCCAAAACCCTAAGGATGCCGAATATAAAGGGTAGATGGGCCGAATAGGCAATGAGTTATGGAGCCGAGTAAATATGGGCATAATGAGCGAAAAGTGGACCAGGCCCCGAGGCCCAGGGAACGAATATAAATAAAGGAATAGCAGACTGAGAAAGGCATGTGATAATTGTGGAGTTTAACTTAGAATACAAGTAACCTAGAACGAGAGGCTGACTTGACTGTCGGAGCGCTAATTCTGGCACCCCCGACCGGAGTGTTTAATTCATTTCAGGTGACTATCGGTGGATCACGAGCGTCTCCCAGCAGGATCAGAAGAGTATTTCCTAAAACCACATCCCCACAATTGGTGCCGTCTGTGGGAATACTCAAGCATATCCATGGTAGACGTGTCGGAGGACCCTCCAATAGTCACTGATGACACCACACAGATAGACAACTTCACTCCAACAAACACGCACGGACCGCAGCCTAACCCAATAAGACGCGCTTTGAACTTCAGTTCACCTTCGACTCCAGAACACGAAGCAACGCAGGTGATCATAGAGTAGGCAAAGCAAAGCGAGCAGCGGCTGGAGAACATGATCGTTGAGAGCGAGCGTCTCCGTCAGGATTTGGCACTGAAGGTGGCAAAGTCCAAACAAGCCGTGCGCCAAGACCCGGAGCGATCTCTGAAAGCAGGTGGTCGACGGCCTCAACCCCGGCAACAAGACACTAATAGCGACTCATACTCACTATCTCCAGAGCCCAAAAAGAAAGGACGACCTACGACTTCCAGCTCCTCTGAAGAGATCCCACGCGTAAGGCATAAGCGTAGAAGAAACGACTCAGATGACGAGGACCAGCATGATCCTTTTGTGCGACGGATCGCAAGGGCGATCTTGCCCAAAAAGTTTAAAGGTCCATCATTCACTCTCTATGATGGCAAGTCAGACCCCACTGACCACATCCGCCACTACAAGCAAGCCATGACATTACATGCAGATGACGAAGCCCTCATGTGCCGAATATTCCCCAGCAGTTTGGGACCACTGGCTGTTAGGTGGTATTACAAACTGGAGCCGGCTTCGATCAAAACCTTCCACCAATTACAGAAGTCTTTCAAGGCCAGATTCATCACAAATGAAGTCCATCCGAAACAAGCCGACTCTCTCTGGGCAATGCAAATCCTGCCAAGAGAGACATTAAGAGTATATTCGGCACGATATTGGGAATGATTTAATCTTGTAGATGATGCTTGCAATGACTCCATGGCCATCACCGCCTTCAAAATGGGACTTCACCCAGATAGTGCCCTCCGCAGTTCTTTAACTAGAAGACCCCCCAAAACAGTCTGGGGGTTGATGAAGAAAGTAGAAGAATACAGCAAAGTAGAATATGACGCTTTGCGGGTAAAAGTTGGACACAGTACCACCAAAATGGCCCCCCCTGAGATTGCCCAGCCGATAAGTTCCGTACCTCCTCAGAGCCATGAACCACGCCAGCGGACTAAACGAGATAAGAAATGAGATTCTCGCCGACTGAGCGATCAGTGCCCACACCGAACAAATGAGCAACTGCAAGTCAATAATAGGCGCACAAAGCGCGCCGACAAGAAATATACGGAGTTGTCAGATTCAATCATCTCAGTTATGTCCCAAATTCAACATCTTCCATTTTTAAAATGGCCATCCAAAATGGTGGGACCTCCCGACACAAGAAGACGGGACAAACGGTGTGAATACCACAAAGATCACGGTCATGATACGAACAACTGCTATGCTCTAAAAGACCACCTTGAGGAATTGGTGCAAGATGGTCAGCTTCTGCAACACGTACGAAAGAACGCAATCAAGACTGTTGCCCTTCGGCAGGATTCACCTCCGCTCGGAATCATTCATATGATATACGACCTTCCAATGCCACTTGCCGGACACGCAATTCAAGCCCCCCTGAAGAAACTCTCACCATCGAAGCAACACCGCGAAGCTCCGAGTATTATCTTCAACGATTCCGATCTTATCGGCGTAACACTCCCCCATAGTGATCCACTGGTCATTGAGCTACACGTAAATCAATTCATCGTTGAATGCGTCTTCATAGACCAAGGAAGCACTTCGGAGGTTATGTATTACAAAACCTTCATCAAACTCGATTTCAACTAATCAGACCTGTCTCCGGCTCCCCATCCATTGTTTGGCTTCAACGCGAATCTAGAGTATCCATTGGGGAAGATCACACTACCTGTTCGAGCCGGCTCCCGAATGATGGATGTAGAATTCTTGGTCATCAACCTCCCATCATCGTATAATATCATCATGGGGTGAACTTGGCTGCTTGTTATCCAAGCCGTTCGTAGCACCTACCATCAGCTGCTGCGCTTTCCTACCCAAAACGGTATTGAGCAAATCCGTGGTTCCCGGCACTCTGCACCAGCATTCTGTCCCCCTCCCGAACTATCGAATCGAAGCATCCTCGATTAACACGGTCATCATCGGAAGGGTTCCATATTGGCTCAAAAACACGTTACGGCCCTGCAACTCGAGAATTGTCATTGAACTCGACTTGTGGGGAATGATCTCAGTTTTGAAACGATTCTCCATGTACATCTTCCTCCTTTGTAAATGAAAGGATTCTTCTTGGGCAGATACAATCCCATCCTCTGCAAAATCTAATTAAAAAGGGGCATTCCGACCAAAAAGCCTCCAGATTCGGTGCGCCCTTCGTGGATATCACGATTGGCTAATTAAAGCCTCTGGATTCGGAGCGCCCTTCGTGGATATCACGATTGGCCAAGTAAAGCCTCCGAATTCGGAGCACCCTCGGCGAATGACGCCTTTGGGCCGATAAATCCTCCGGATTTGGAGTGCCTTTCGTGGATATCAAGATTGGCCAAATAAAGCCTCCGGATTTGGAACCCCCTCGGCGCATGACGCCGTTTGGTCGATAAAGCCTCCGGATTCGGAGCGCCCTTCGTGGATATCACGATTGGCCAAGTAAAGCCTCCGGATTCGGAGTCCCCTCGGCGCATGATGCCGTTGGGCAGATAGAGCCTCCGGATTCAGAGCGCCCTTCGTGGATATCACGATTGGCCAAGTAAAGCCTCCGGATTCGGAGCCCCCTCAGCGCATGACGCCGTTGGGCCGATAAAGCCTCCGGATTTGGAACGCCCTTCGTGGATATCACGATTGGCCAAGTAAAGCCTCCGAATTCGGAACGCCCTTCGTGGATATCACGATTGGCAAAGTAAAGCCTCCGGATTCGGAGCCCCCTCGGCAAATGACGCCTTTGGGCTGATAAAGCCTCCGGATTCAGAATGCCCTTCGTGGATATCACGATTGGCCAAATAAAGCCTCCGGATTCGGAGCCCCCTCGGCGCATGACGCCGTTGGGCCGATAAAGCCTTCGGATTCGGAGTGCCCTTCGTGGATATCACGATTCGCCAAGTAAAGCCTCCGGATTTGGAGCCCCCTCGGCGAATGATGCCGTTGGGCCGACAAAGCCTCCGGATTCGGAGCGCCCTTCGTGGATATCACGATTGGCCAAGTGAAGCCTCCGGATTCGGAGCCCCCTCGGCGCATGACGTCGTTGGGCCGATAAAGCCTCCGAATTCGGAGCCCCCTCGGCGCGTCACGTTGTTGGGCCAAAGTCTCTGGATTCGGAGCACCCTCGGCGCATAACGCCGTTGGGTCAATAAAGCTTCCAAAAACCGAATAACATTCCGAATTCAGAGCGCCCTCAATGCACAATAGAGCAGACATGTAACTCGAATCGGCACAACGGCATAAACGAAACAAAACGTGCCAACACTCGAAATAAGATGCTTAACAAAAATTCATAATGAAATACAAACTTGTAAAATAAAACATTTTATTCGATTAAACAATAATTACAAAAACGCAATTCGTGTTCAAACATTACAAAGTCTACTTTCACACGGTGTCACCTTCATCCTCACCCTTCTCAAATTTCGAAGTCGAAAGAAGGGAAGTGATCATGAAGGTATAGCAGCAGCGCTGGATCGACGCCCGCTGCCCAGAGGGCGCCCGTCGCTCGAAATTCTTCGATCTGACCACGCTTGATCCACAATGTTCACACTGGCGCGACAATCATCCTCAAGGTCGAGAGCCTTGACACCATTGACAATGTCAAGGCCAAGATTCAGGACAAGAAAGGAATTCCCCATGAAAACAGTGAAATTCAACGATTGTAGCGCTACATTGGCCGCTTCCTTCCTTCGGGATGATCTGCTTCGACGACTTGGAGGTCGACGTTTTTCCCATTCTTTGAACGCCCCACCCCTCGTACGGGTGGGTTCCTTGCTGCGATTCATTGCAGTGTCAAGCTCAGCCAAGGTTCGAGCCCCGCTTCTGCTGTTGAAGAAAATTCCATTTGACATCTACATTTGTCTGCCCCATGCAACAAAGTTGTTTTAAAGCAAGTCTGAACACAGTAAGTGAAATTACTTGGGCGAAAAGTCCGAGGCAATCTATTTTTAATCCTTGCGGTGACCCTGACGCAACGTCATTAATACTGAACTCCATAAGACGGATGCCGATAGATGTTGGCCATAGCCATTCCACGTACTAATTTTTGGCTTTTTTTGAGTTAAAATGGACTAGTTATGGTAATTAAAGATAGAATGATAGCCTCCGGATTCGAAGCCCCTGGAGCATGGCACGTTTGGGCCAATTAAGCCTCCAAACTCGGAACCCCGTCGACGCATCACGCCGACCGATACAAGTCTCCGAATTCAGACCCTAATCGGCAGAGCGATCATGACAAGCCGGCACGTAGCCGTTCAGAATTTAATGACTGCTTGAGCCAGACAATGTTTATAGAATGAAAAACATATGCAAAACACGTGTGCGCCGAATATAGATTACAATGAAACATTTAAAACAAGACGTGTTATTCAATCAGGCAACAATTACACAATTACATAGTATTTTTATACGGCGTCGTCCTCATCCTCACTCTTCTCGACTTCAAAAGCAGAAAACAAAAAATGAGTACGTTGGTAGAGTGGCAGTGCCGAATCAATTCCCGACGCTTGGAGAGCTTCTGTAGCTTGACATGCTCTAATCCAACAGTGCTTAAAGCCACAATTCTCGCATCGGCAAACTTCTTCGGTGAGCTTCTCTTTGGTCTTCTGAATTCCGATCAGTCGGCCATCATGAAAGCCCTTTTCATAGGCCACGTTTCTCGTAGTCTCGATCGCAAACATGCTCGCCGTACTACCATCAGCGATCGCATCACTAATCAGCTTTTGAGTAACCCTCTCTGTGACAACCGGGTTAGGGGGGACAGCTGATTACGGCGAGGCAGGCTTGTTTTTCCTCAGCTCGCGCTCGGCCTTTTCGGCGCGAGCTTCTAACTTCCAAATATGTTCGTCTTTCTGTTCTATGTCTTGACGAGCAGCGCGGAGACACATACCGATCTCATAAGCCATGTAAAGTTCCTTCACCGCCCTGTGAACGCCTTCACAAAACACTTCGAAGTCTGAACAGCCTACCATTGACTGCTGAACTTCGGGCGAAAAAATCTGTTAAGCAAACTCGGCTGCCACATTTGGGTCTAAAATGATGGAATCCACCTCCGTCATCGGTCTGTTACCCATGAAAACTGTAAAACTCAATGGGCGAGGAGTTACGTCGGATTCCCTTCCAAGATGAGACTTATGTTGCAGATGACTATCCCTCCTAGGCGATCTACTTCGACGTCGAGGAGAATGGTGTCTCTCCCGACCCCTCGACGTCCTACCGCCCGTACATGACGGTTCACCGCTTCGATTCATGGCACCTCCCAGCTCAGCTAGCGTCTTCGCTTCCCCTCTGCTGTTGAAGAAAAGCTTATTTGACATTCGCACTTATTTTGCCTGTCTCAAAGAGCGGGACTGAGATGCTCAGTTAGCACTTAAATAGGACCCATCGTTCACGAAGTGCACGTCCATTTATTCCCTACAAGGGCAGCATCTCCGAGGCTACCTCATTAATAATGAAGCGTCAATACCCCATCCCCTCGTCGACTGAACCACGCCCCAATCGCCTCATCAACAGCTAATATACGGCGTAATCGGTTCGCGAACTAGCTGGGGCAAGGGCAGATTCATCAATCTATATGGCTCGAGTGCCCTAGCCGTTCCACGAATCGATTCATCTGAGCACGAGTATTGAATTCATTTTGTTTCTGACTACATTAGATCCCTAATTCTAATCGGCCGGTAAGTCTGCCATCAATCTATACGGCTCGAGTGCCCTAGCCGTTCCATGAATCGATTCTTGCGTGCAAACTTTTTACGTTTTATTCGGCATTCTACGTTCGTAAACCAGCTGGGACAAGGGAAGATTCATCAATCTATACGGCTTGAGTGCCCCAGCCGTTCCATGAATCGATTCTTGCGTGCAAACTTTTTTACGTTTTATTCGGCGTTCTACGTTCGTGAACCAGCTTGGGCAAGGGTAGATTCTTCAATCTATATAGCTCGAGTGCCCCAGCTAATCCCCGAATCGATTCATCTGAGCACGAGTCTTAAATTCATTTTGTTTCTGACTAAATTAGATCCCTAATTTTAATCGGCCGTTAAGTCTGCCGTCTCACGCATGCTTGACATATTGTTCTAACTGCTGACTCTCCTAACTATACGCTCATACAACAGACAAAATGAAAAATAACTCGAGAGCTTATAAAATTTTCATTCATAAACTGGGCCCTGGCAGCGGACATTTTACATATAAAAATCCAAAAAATATACATTGAATATACTTAATAAAACTAGAATGTCTCCCAGACCAATCCTCGAGGTCAGACTCAAGCGGCTCAACTTCCACTTGCTCGTATGGAATTGGCACGGCTAATGTAGCTCCAACGGTAGCAAGTGCTTTGAGCCACCCATGTTTGAATCCCCGATTTTTGAATTTGGGGACTTCGTCTACGTATTCCTTAAAGGCGACGCTCCTCCCAACCTCAAGCGCCGTAGAAACTTCAGATTCGACTTTTTCCTTGGCCGCCTTCAACTCCTTTAACTCAGCCTCTGCCTTGGCAAGCGTCTCCTTAGCTAACTCGAGCGATTCCTCGCTCGCGTTCGCCCTATCCTCGGCTTCGGATCTGAGCCGGTCAGCAGTCTGAACCCTTTCCATTTCCACTTCGGCTCGCGCATTTTCCA